AAAAATCAATAAAAACATATTTAAAAAAAATAAAAGGCAGAGATATCAGATCATGTTGAAGAAAAAAGATAAATTCTGCTCTGTCTGAATCCAAAGCTTGTATGCTTTCAAATTGATCGTGCTACATAATAAGAAATAGAAGAAAGGGGACTGAGGAGGAGGGTAGGAAAAGGGGCCAGGGATGAGAGGAGAGGAATAAGAAAAAAAGAAGAGGAGGAAGAAGAAGAATGGAAGAAAAAGAAAATGTCACTTACTCATATGTGGAATTAAGAAAACTGTCCCGAGGCCATTTAAAAACAGGTGCCATCCTCACTTTACAGATGAACAAATGAAGGCATTAATTAAGAATTCTCAAAATTTCTAACTACATATTAAAAGTGAAATTTTTATGCAGTCTTACTACACCATAATTCTCTCTACTGGTTTCTGGTAAAAACTGGTACGTTTACCATTAGAAGGACTGGAGAATTATTGAGTGCTCTATTTTATTTGTAAGAGTTTTTAAAAAACTTTTGAGAGTTTTGACAGAGCAAATTAAACAGTAGAAGAAAGAGGGCTCCTCTGGTCAAGTTCCTTGGTGAGACGGGTAAAGAGAAAAGAATGGCATGCTACTGGAAACACTCGCCAACCCTAGCTTGTAGAGTTCCAGCCACGCTCCTGGATCATCCACAGATCCCAGGATAAGCTTCTGACATTTTATAACACAGAAATGAGACCGGGCAAGTAAGCAACTAGAAACAATTCATTGCTAAATTATTTACATTTGTATGTATTATGTATTTTTGATATTCCATTAAATGTGTAAGGGTGATATTCAACGATATATTTTAAATCTATTCTCCATCTTATCATCCTTGGTTAGTTATGTTATTTTAATCATTCATGGCAAATAACTAAATTAATTAAATATCCCATTCTGTACTGTCTTCTTTATGAAAAGCTTGTTAGATTTTGTAATTATACATGACTGTTTAGTAAATTATACACTAATACAAAGTTAAATTATATACATCATTGTTGGGAGCAAGCCAGGAGGAATTTGGTGATTCAGTACAATGGATGAGTTAAACGTTTTTTCCTATTAACATATTTACATTTATTCCTATGACAATTTGATTTAGAAAATAGTAAAAAGTATTTTCTAATATCATACTCCTCTACCTATAAACTATCAGTGCTGAACGTGAGTGCGTTGAAAGTCTGCATGTGTGTCGTGCAGGCATTGATCTAGTTAGTCCATACTGGTTAAACATGTTCTCTGTGACATGCTCTGTTCTAAACGTTGGACAGACAGGAGTGACAAAAACCAAGTCCCTGATTCTGTGAAGGTGCATACAAGGGTAGGCTAAATAATAAACAAAGCAAAAAAGAAAATAAGTGCTAGTAAGGAAACAGAGCAAGGAAGAGGAATAGAAGATATTGCCAGATAATTGAAATTCCAAATAAGAAGCGAGGAAAAGCCCCGAGAAAAAACTGACAGCTAAGTCCAGACCGAAAGAAGACACTGACTAGTTTTGAGTAGTGAATAGCATTATTGTACACGATTAAACAGGCTAATTCTGTTGCTGTGTAGGGGATGTGTTGACGGTACTAAGGACACGAACAGAGAAAAAATGAGGAGTTCTAGCAGGAGAGGTGGTTAAAATTTTTCATTGTCTAGATATATGTGAAGGCACCACCGTGAAGATGGATTGTATGTGTTCTCTGAGATTAGATAAATTGTGATGCCTAAGTGTTTGGCTTGAGCTATTTAAAGAATGTGATTCCACTTATTGACCTTAAAAATCTTGTGGAAAAATTTCAGGAGAAGACCAAGTGTTCAGTTTTAGATACACTAAATTTGAGATGCCTAGTAAACATTTAGCTAGATAGATATATACATACATAAATGTATTTGCAATTCAGGGAGAGTAAAAATTACACCTACATGTTTATGAGTCATCAATAGGCAGATGATATTTAAAACTATGGGATTTGCCCTGGCCGGTTTAGCTCAGCGGTTAGAGCATCAGCCCGTGGACCAAAGAGTCGTGGGTTCTATTCTGGTCAAGATCACATACCTCGGTTGTGGTTTGTCCCCGGCCTTGGTCGGGTCTTGTGGGAGGCAACCAGTAGATGTGCCCTTCTCACATCGATGTTTCTCTCTGTCCGTCTCTCATCCTCTCTCCCTTCCTCCCACTCTATCTTCAGATAAATAGAAAAAATAACAATAATAAATAAAACTTCAGGGCTCAATAAGGTAAATGACCTAATATGGAAAGTTCTGATGACTGAGTTTGTGATAGTCCACGCCTAATAAGTCAGAAGCAGCACGGGGAAAGGGAAAAGCCAATGAAATCAGTTTAAAAACAAAAGTGTGTAGTATTATCCTGGAACTCAAATAGCAAACGTATTTTAAGGAGGATTGCCAACTTACCATTGGCAAATGTTCCTGATATACTAAGGTAAAGTATGAGAATTGACCTTTGGATTTAGCAAGGTATTTACCACTGCCTCTGGTGACCGCAGCAAGTTCATATTCTAGAAAGTGATGGGAGCAGATATCTGAATGGATTATGTTGATGATGAAATGAGAAGAGGGAATGATGGGCAGACAAAATGAGCACGATGAAAGTAATGAGAGAAATGAGACAAGCTGGAGAAGATATTTAAGGTCATAGAAAGTGTTCTGTTCAGGGGGTGTGTGTGCGTGTCTGTGTGTAAGTAGAACATGATTCAATATATTTTTCTTAATTTCAGGAATTCTCTCAGTGATTTTATCTCATGATTATCTTTTGTACATACTTTGTCAATTCTAAAGTTAATGTTATAATATTTAGATGCAAACACAATTTCTATGATAACTCAGCATGAATTGCTAAGATACATACATCTCATTTAAGATATCGAAACATGTATATCTAACCTAAGAGCTGTAACAAATCATGTCAATGGGTAATTATTAAGTAAAATTGAAATTCTGTGCCTGTATCACAAGGTTCATCACTTAATTTTTCTTAAATTTTTGCACACATTAAATTTATCTCTCCAAATGATTTTTTTAAATTACAAAAAAATGTTTTTCCCTATTCTTTTCAAGGCACTATGCTAAACCTATTACATATTATTTATCTCCCCTTCACTATATACTTTCAAAATAGGTTTTATTAACCTATATTCTAAATAATGGTCCTGGGATCAGCAATTCGGTAACTTTAATGAGCCTTGAGAAATACTACTGATGTAGCAGGGATTCAGTCCAGATTTACTTACTTCCGAAGTACATGACCTTTAACTTTTACAACTTTATTAGACAGTACTTACTAAAAGATAAGGACTACGTCATAAGCAACTCTTCTTTTGTAAGCTGGATAGAGACAAATACAATAAAAGGTACTTAATGTGACCTTACTATTAATATAGCTACACATTTGTCTAAGAAAAACAATATCTTGAGGAGCAGACAAAATCAGCTTTCTCATGGTTACAAATTTGAACTGTTAGGGATCATGAAGCAAAAAAAAAAAATGTAAATTAACTCAGATAATTTTCCTTTTAAATGTCACGCCATCATGATGAGACAGTTTACTATCCACTTGTTACTATTTTCAGGGGGATATTTTTGTCATGGTTTAGATACATATCAGAAAGGACACAATAACCAGTCTCATTTTTAGGATATTGATCTTTGTAAATCCTCGACCAATTTAACAATCATACCATTGATTGCTTTATTTTCCTTAATTTAAAATTTTATTTGAATTTTCAGTGGTGAGATATGACAAGCATCGGCAACTTCTAGATGATAATTTTATTTTTTTATTTTTGTATGATACAAATATATAAAATCTTTTCTGAGATGGTAGAATAGATTATACTGTGTATAACATTCATAAATTAAAATTCTTTATACATAACATATATTCAACATTTATATATGACCCCAATGGTACGATAGGAAAAAAATATGTTTTAGAGTTGCATAAAAATCTATGTTCCACTTAGATTAACTAGTAAACGTGCATTATTTTTTATGTTCACCTGTAAATGAAAGTTAACATTACTCTAAAATAGGTTGGTTATAATGTTATAATTACTAAATAAGGAAGTATATATTATTTTCTTGGCAAGTAAAACAGCAAACAAGTCCTTCCTTTCTTATCTAGAAACAAGACTAGTGATTAGTTAAACAGAATCAGTGATTCAATTTTATTTTTAGAACAGCAAAAACTTAACATGTCGGTAAAAAATAAAATAAATGAAGATATCTTTCATTTAAATACCAATTTTTCTCAAATAAAAATCTGAGAAAATTTACAAATTTTCTAATGTCTTTTAAAACTTTTGTAACTGAACATATTTGAAATATTGTACTTACGTATGTGTATCTAGAATATACATATGATTTTGTGAGCTAGGAAGTATATATTTTTATCTTTACTTAGTAAAATATCTGTGATATGTATATAAGTGGGTAACACAAAACAGAAAATTATCTTTAGGACCTTAAACACTGTGGTTTTAAAATAAGTAAACCTTTTATAAAAAGTGAGATGTTCATTTTTTAAGACAAATAATCGATTATAAATAATTTTAGTGATGAGAGTTTATCATATATGCTAAATATAATTTTTAGTAACTTCAGTGACTTTTCTTGCTATTTTCTACAAATACTATTAGAACTCTAAATAATACAAATTTACAACAAAGTGCATGAAGAGAAAAATGTAGAGATGTTTTTATCATGTACAAGAAGGTGAGCAGTGGAAATTGTGCCTCCCAGTAATGGCCAATGTTAGTAGGAAGACCAGAACCTAATAATAATCAGCAACCATGTACACTGATTGCCAAAGATGCAGTAAATATCTCCTACCGAAACCATGTATAAAGTGCCCTTCCTGCTCATAAAAAAAAATTAGCACTCAAAGCCCATCATGTATTTTACTACAGTCTTGTCAGCATTTAACAAGAGATTCATAATCTTTGTGGCAGATAAGAAAAATTTAAATAAATAAACTCACCTTGTCCACAATACATATCTGCTTTCTTGTTTGAGCATCAAGTATTTCAATCTCAAAGTAAGTTGTCTTTGAATGTTTCACTGCTGGGGTTGGTTTGAGAGGGCCTGCTGAAAGCAGAAGATTTCTCATGTCATTCTTCGGTGTGGACCGCGCAGCTCCTTGGGGAAAAAACTCGTTCTTGCTTTCTGAAGCAAGGGTCTTCTGCCTTCTGAACATTGTGCGAACTACCAGGAGAATCTGTCATGTCAACAGGAGACACTTTGCAAGTGTTTTTCCTTCACACCAGTTAAATACTGCTCCTGAAACACAAAAGGTCAAGTGGCATGCCATTCCAGTAGTTCAGTTTTATTTAGCAGGATTAAAAACAATGCTTGATTTTACTTCTATATATAACGCACCACTGCGAATCGCTGCAATGCAGAGGATTACTTTACCAGCATTTGGATTATTTCTTGCTTTCTCCTTTTATCTCTGCTTCTTAATATGGCCACTGGTATCTGAAATTCCAAAGCAAGTGTGGAATAGATAGAGTTCTTAATATCTCTGAATTCTGGATGCACTGATCTTCAGACACATGTATCTTTATGCACATATTCAGATTTAAAAGTATTTAAAATTAGCTTAGTGCTATTTCTTAGTTAAATTTACAAACACCTAGTACATTATTATATAACACATGTTTTTATTGATGCTGTCTAAAATGAAGACTTATGGCATGTTCTTCATGTATAAATATCTGGTAGGAAATGGATGAATTCTTTGCTCCATACAGGGATCAGAAAAAATGGCACGTTGTCTATGGGAGTGATTTATTTTCATGTTTGTACACATTTTATATCACTGAAAAATTATGGAACTTGTATGTAAAATCAGTACTAAATATAATATTTACCATACCACTAAATTATAGAAAATTTAAATAGTCTCAGAATAAACAATGAAAAATAATAAAAACCTGGAAAGACAGGTTTGTAAAAAAGACCAAACTACTCTGAGACCTGGAAATCTGGTGAGGAGACAACTGAAAAAAATCCAAAATGTATTGTCACTGATTCAAAAGTTTAGTACATAAAATTATTCTGAGATGGTATTTTTAATAACAACATTAAAAGGAAAATGGCTAAAATTATAGAGGGTAAAATCTATATATCTAGGTGAAGCTAATCTTTACTTTTATAATTAAATAAAATACTGCATTATTTATTTTTAGATTTCACTTCACATTATGCACTGAAAATTCACATGTACAATGCTCAGATGTCTTTTTCATACTTTAGGCCAACATTACGCTGGGTATTTAATATTTTAAAAACATAGAATATGTGTGTGTGTATGTATTTATGCACATACACATTTTATAATTTTATTATCCCAATTGTTCAGGACAACAAACTTTCATTATCCATACTGTCTTCCTTTTTCTACACTGAAGATCTAGTTGATCAGCAATCCAGAACAAAATCTTCTTCCCATCCCCACAGCTACCTTCAAAACATCATTCTCACTTGTAATTGCTCTTCCAAACTTGTCTTTCTGTAGCAACATTGGCCCATCTAGAGCATCTTTTTAACACAGTAGATAAGTAATCAGTGTCTATATTAATGCAGATAATTCAATGATTTACTCACCACACTACAGAGACTTCCTATCTTATTAACGAAAAGCCAATGTTCTTTGCAAAGGTCCACAAGGATCTGCTTCATCAGCATTTTGTTGTATCTTTGATCTCATCTCCTAAACTATCTGTAGTGCCTATAATAATCCCTGGCACATAGTAGGTGCACAATAAACATGTACTGAATAAATAAATAAATAAATAAATAAATAAATAAATAAATAAATAAATAAATATTAGGGGTGTGGAAGAATGATGTGATGCTAATTGTATGGCTCGGGTGCCTATTGCTTTCTATTAAAATGACAGAATTTCAACCAATATAATGTATCTTTACTGATAGTTTCTGTTTAGAAATGGGAATTGTCAAAAGGACACAGAAGCCAAACTGAAAGATCTCTTTTTGTCCAAGCTGCAATAATTCAAATTAAGAAAATAAATACTGATGATAATAGATTCTAACTCAAAGAACAATATAAATTCAAATAACAGCAGTCCATACTGTTATAAATAAATGATTAAATAAATAAATAGGGACAAGGGAAGAAATTTTCTTACACAAAGATTTGTAATAATATCTAAATATATTCTCTCCTTGAGTGTAGGTTTCATTTAATGACACACTTATAAACTATAATAAGTGGAAAGAGAAAATAGGGACTTTATAGTGGAGGAAACTGGCAGGCAGACAGCATTTTAACCAAGAGGCCAAGTCTGATATCACCACGAATAGTCATGTTGACATCACGTACCCACTGATATCATCAGATGAGTACACTTCACCGCTGAGGTATTCTTCCAAAAGTTCATTACCTCAGCTGAACCATGAGAAAACATCAGACAAGCACATATCAAGGGGAATTCTACAAAATACTTAACACTTTTCAAAATTGTCAAGAATATAAAAAATAAGGGTGAAGGGATTAAGAAAAAAAAAAACCCTTAGAGACACAGACAACAGTATGGTGATTAGCAGGGGGAAAAGGGGATTGGGGGAAGTAGAAGAAGGTAAAGGCAGGGATAAATGGAGATGGAAGGAGACTGGTCTTGGGGTAGGAAAAAAAGTATAACTTTGCCATTGAGAAAAATAAAAGAAAAAATTAAGAGAATGTGACAGATAGAAAATGACTATATGGAAACATGACTAGAAAATGCAATGTGGTATTCTAACTTTTTTTTTCTGGAACAGAAAGATAAATTAGTGAAAAAACTGGTGAAATAATAATAGCTATAATTTAATTAACAGTATTGTACCAATGTTAGGTTATGATATTGGTAGATATACCAAGGTTATGCAAGATGCCAAAAATAGGAATGCTAGGTAAAAGGTACATAAAAAAAAAAACACAAAAAACAAAACTGTGTACTTTCTTTTTAATGTTGTTGTAAAATTACGCAAAATAAAAAGCATAAATAAACACCACCCACCAAACACACACCTAAAAGAATGGAGAAGGAGAAAAGATGAGAGTACTAATCACATACAGTAAATCATTCTGGCAGAGAATAAACATTTCAGGTATTATGTTATGTATTGTTTTATTATGTATTCTTGAAGTTGTCGCAAAAATTAAAAATTTATATTCACTAACGTGTTATAAGGTTATTGCTAAATAGATCGTAATGCAAATAACAGCCTGAATTTATATTTGTTTCATACTAGACTGAGACACCACTTTGTAAACTAGATTGTAATATAAACCTATATTTAAATGAGAAGCTATTATAAAAGGTGTAGTTTCAAGTGGGAATCTGTATTCAAACTGCATTTAGTAGTAGTAAAATGTGAAAGAGGAGGTAGTTATCATTGCTCTTTCCCCTCATATTTTTCATATCTTTTTGACAGAAAGCTTTTTATCTCAGTTTACTTTCCATTTGAAGTGCTATTTCTTCTTCAATCATTTAAAATAACTAATAGGCTTACTTGTAGAACAATTTTAGTTTACAAAAATTTACAGAAAAATTGAGTCATTGAGAGTACCGAGGTCCCCATATACTCCCTTTCCCTGCCTCCTCCACACACAATCTCTCCTATTACTATTAACATCTTACATCGGTGTGAAATATTTGTTACCAATATTGATAGATATTTATTAATTGAAATCTATATTTCAATGTTTAGACTGTGTTTTATGGGTTTTTACAGATTTATAAAGTTACGTATCCACCATGATGTATCATACAGAACAGTTTCACCTGAAACGTGCTGTGATTTACTTATCCATCCCTCCTCATTCCCTTTCTTCTGAATCCCTGGCAATCAGGGATCTTTTTACAGTCTTCATCGTTTTGCCTTTTCCAGAATATCACTGGTAGGAATCCTACAGTATGTTGTGTTTCTATTCTGGCTTCTTTCGTTTAGCATTGTGCATTTAAGTTTCCTCCATGCTTTTTCATAATTTGAAAACTTTTTTTTTAATCACTAAAGACCCATTACATGAATGTTCCACAGTGTATTTGTTTATTCATCTCTTAAAGAACATTTTGATTGCTGCTACATAGTCAGGTTTTTGTGTGGATATAAATTCGATTTATTTGGGTAGATAACTAGGGGTGTGATTGTTGGATTGAATGGTAGACAGACATCTGTTTAGCTTTGTAAGAAGCTGTCAGACTGCCTTCCTAAGGGGCTGCATCATCTGGCGTCCCTGTCAGCAATGAATGAGAAAGCTCTGCTGGTCCACATCCTCACCATGTTTGGGGTGGTGTTGGTGTTTGAGATTTGCGCCATTCTGTCAGGTGACATGATATGTGGTGGTGTTGGTGTTTCAGATCTGCGCCATTCTGTCAGGTGACATGATATCTCAATGTTTTTTAAATATGCAGTTCTCTAATAATAAATGATGGGGGCGCATCCTTTTTTTTTTTTTTTTTTTTTTTTTGAGCAGCTTTAGATCTTTTGTCCACTTTGTAATTTCTTTTTTTCTTACTGTTGAGTTTTACAGTTTTTTAAAATTAATTTTAGAGAGAGGAGGGGAGAGAGAGAGCAACACTGAAGTGAGAGAGAAACATCCATCGGTTGCCTCCTGCATGAGCCTGGATGAAATCTGCAACCTGGATATGTGCGCTGACGAGGAATCGAACCCATCACCTTTTGGTGTATGAGAAGACACTCCAACCAACTGAGCCATCTGGCAAGGACATGCCTTTTAAAAGTTTTTGTATATTTTGTATATAAGTCCTTTATCAGATATGTACTTTCCAAATACCTTCTTCTATCTATGACTTGTCTTATCACCATTTAAGCATAACTTTTGCAGAGCAAAAGTTGTTAATTTCAACAAATTCTAACTGATCATTTTTTTTTTAAATTCATGACTTACGCTTTTGGTGTTGTATCTCAAAAGTCATTGCCAAACCCAAGATCACATTGACCTTCTGTGTTATCTTCTAAAAATTGTATGATTTTACAGTTTAGTTTCTGATCTATTTTGTTAGTTTGTGTGAACAATGTAAAGTTTGTGTATATATTTATTTTCTTTTTGAATATGGATGTCTAGTTGTTCTAATACCATTTGTTGAAAAGACTATCTGTTCTCCATTGAATTGCCTATAATGGGTTGATTATATTTGTATGGGTCTACTTCAGGACTCCCTACTG